CTCTCCTAACTGTCATAGCAACTCTCCTAAATATTTATCTGTGACAGATACTGGCTACAAGAGACATTCTTTCCTCTGTATTTTATGAAACACTGTCACAGAAGTAAAGGGTGCTTTGTCATCCAGGTACTTTCTGCTACTTACACCTCATCAGAGGAGGGTGTTAAACAAGGTTACCTCACAATTTTGGCTTTTTCTGGTAGGCTGCCACAATTGATTGGTTTGCATAAAACTCACGAGGTTGTTTCACACACTTCCCTCCCACTTTTCCTTTTTTTCTGATAGGTCAGAAACCTGTTTTTTCAAAGGGAAAATCTTTTGTTTTTCTTTTCCAAGTTGAAGGCTGTTCACATTCTCACCGCAGCTGTGCCTTTTGTTACTTGAATATGATACTTTTCATTGTTCTGCTTGCAAATTCAAGTTTACTCATAAACTGAGCAGGAAATGGGACTAACTTCAACTGGTTCTTTCCCCCTTCCTCACAATGAACCAATGTTAAATGATACCAGCTTTCTGGCCATCTGACCATGTGCCATTTCTTTTTTTATTTCCGATTGTAAAGTTTTGATATATAGGAGACTTTATTTTCAAATGGAAAATAAAGTATTTTTTCTTCCTTCTGGGCAACAGAACTGCAAAAGCTAAATAACGCTCTGAGTACGTCAGCAGTGTCTGGTGGGAATAGTGAAGAGTACATGGCAACTGGAAAAAGAGCTTCTAAATTGGCTTAGCTGTCCTGCCAATAAAAGCACTTTATTGCCACAAAAATAAGATTCATGAAAATAATATAGATTTATCTCCTAGTACATATATGAAATTGGAAGTACCTTCCTTTAAAAAAAAAACTTGGTCTCAGAATCTGTACAATAAAAGTGAGCACACAGTCCCCATAATTGTTCTTAGATTACAGTGTGGGACAAATAGTACACACGAAAAGCCAGCAAGGAAAAATATTTGGCATTCCTCCTTCAAAGGCGAATAGAAGACCAAGAGTTTCAGATCTCTGTTTAAGTATTACCTTCACTTGTTCAGTCCAACAATGGAGAAGCAGTGAAGCATTGATGACCTACCTGATCATATTGTGTAGCCTAGAGAAATGATCTCTAGGCTACACAATATCTACAGCAGGGAGCCTTTCTATACATGCAACCGTTCATATGAATTGCAAGACTTTACAATCAGGATTCCAGCTGTTGTGGAAATAATTGCATGCATTGCTAGGCTTTTTGCTATAGACAACTGGACATGTTTCTGGATCTCCATCCAGAATTTGACCATATTTTTTTAATTTACTGACAAATAAACCATAGTCTTCAAATAGACTCCAGGCAGTTTGTCTTAAAAGTGGTTATATCTAAAGTGTTGAGTAAACTACATGGACAGGTCCATGTCCTTTAAGAACTAAGTTTGATTCCAGAGAGACATTACTTTTTAACAGATTCCCCCAAAAATCTAATCTATGTTCATTCTGCACTCAGTCACACAAGCCCTCGTCATCTCATATTTGGACTACCACAATGTGTTCTATATGGGGCTATCCTTGAAGAGTATTCAGAAGCTACAGCTAGTGCAGTATGTAGCCACACAGACAGTTCTAGGGTCCCCTAGGATGGCCCATGTAACAAAGCTCTTTATAACATGGGTTCAAGCAACCTGAGGGACCATCTCATTCCAATGGAATTGTTCCGGTAGAAAGGAATGCTTCAGATTCCATCAGTCAAGGAAGTCTCGCTGCTGGGGCCCAGAAGAAGGGCCTTTTCTGCCATGGCTCCTGCCATCTGAAAGAGACAGGTGTGCCCCCATTCTGCCTTACCAAAAGAGCCTCAAAACCTGCTTCTGCTGATTGGCCTGGCACCCTGATGGAGACATTTCATGTTGGAGATAGCTAGTGCATTAGAAAGAAGACCACATTTTATTCTTATTTCAGCTAATTTCCATTAATTTTTAATGTTTTAATGTTTTGTATTTTTGCTTTTATGAGTTCTAAACTGTCCGGAATCACTTGACAGTGAGATAGACAGTGGCATACAAAATTAGTAAACAAATACATTCTCATTGGAAAATAAAAGTTGTTAATCAAAATTCTTATGGTACAACTTTGGTCTTCTTTCCTACTTTGAGAGTTGGTTAGCAAGAGACATATGATATAAATATGATATAAAATAGAGGAAGCCCTATATAAAGGAGCATGTAATACATATTGGCATTAATGGGGATTCCTATTTGCTACATAATAATTACTCACTTAAATCTTTTGTATGTTTTTGTGAAATTCATTCAACTGTCTTAAAATTACATTTTGGTATACAGTTTTTCAGATTTAGGCATCACTGTAAAAGAAAATATTCAGAAGCCTAGTTTCAAAGGATCCAATTAGACTCCAGACAGCTCTGACAGAAGTTTTCTTAACTTGGACAGTCATATCCGTGAACATATCAGAGATCTATAATAATGAAGCCTTGACAGAGTAGAGCCTAAGTTCTCCTGTCCTGTGTCAGACCCTCAAATGTCCTATGGCACTGTAATGACTTCTCAGTTCTGACACAGAAGTGAATCCAACTGGACACAATAAAAACACCTTTATACAGCCATGGTAGCCATGTCGGATTCATTGGATTGAGTGGAATTCCTCATCTTCTGGGTGCTTCCAAAATGTTACTCAAAACATTCTTTAGTAAGTACAGAACCTTTATATATTACACGATGTACTTGCTAGCACAATTAATAATATATTAAATAAACTGTGTCTGTGAATAAGATGTCTTCCAAGATAGCTACATAATAATCTTTAATAAAAAAATGGAGTGGTATGATCTTTCTGACAATTCTATGTTTGATATGCACTTTAATATCTATCTTTCCTAGACAGCTGCTAACAACTTCTGAAAGTTTGGGGCATGGGTTTATTTTTAATTTTTAATTTATATACTACTTTTATTATTTTTTACAAATAACTCAAAATGGTGAACATATCCAACACAGCTTCCTCCTATTCCCCACAATAATAACTCTATGAGGTAAGTTGGGCTGAGAGAGTGATAGACTCAAAGTCACCCAAGTGGCTTTCGTGGCTAAGATGGGACTTGAACTTACAGTCTCTTGTTTTCTAGCCTGGTTTCTTAACCACTAGATGAAACTGGCTATCTTCTCAAAGTTCAGTGTGTCTTCATGTCTTTTAAGAGTAATTATTTGTATTTTTTTACAAATAATATTTTACCCAGAACTATTTATGAAATCAGAAAAAGCAATATTGTGAAATGTTACCCCCTCCTTCAAAAGCAAAGGGATTCATTCTTAAACTGATGTGAATTGGAACTATTTAAATTTCTAGATATAGGCTGTTGTGTTGGACTGATCCAAATCTTGCTAAAATGAATTACCATATGGTATCTGCCTGTCTCCGTAGAGAAGCTGACCCATAGCAGTTGAACTGTATTTCAATACAGCTTCTTCTGCTGCATTTGAAGAGGATGCACTATAAAGAATGTTCTCCAATGAAATGGAATGTCCATAGGCTCAGTAGTAATGGCCAGAACATAATCTTCCTATCTTTTCATATAAGTGAAGGATGAGAGAAAAGAAAAGAATAAATCAAGAGAAACCCCAATTTATGTTTTACTTTATCAGTAAGTACTGATAGGTTTGAACCTTTTTTCTCCTCAGCAATATTTTGCCATGTCAAAACAACAACAACAACAAAAAAGGATGAGGCGAGAATATTTCTGTATTGTTCTCTGGATCATTATTTTATTATTTGGTAAACTTTAATAACAGTAAAAGTTTAAGAAATTAAAATTAAGTATTTCTATTGACATAGAAATTTATCCTAAAATATGATTGACATGGTCATTTATAAACAGTATTTCCAATAGAGCTGTCAACCAATTAAAGGCTTTTAGTTGATTAATAGCAATGTCTTTAACTGATCAATCAAATAACTAATTTAAATATACACTATGGTGCAGAGTCTTTAATTACTGAAATCAATGGGAAGGTTTCCACTGATATAAACAGAACTGGAGTATAAACCAGTGGAAGTAACATTTTCACAAAAAGTCATGTACATCCAATCAATTAGTTATCAACATTCTTATATTTCATCTGAAGATTAAAACTTCATTGTAATTAATTTTGCAGTCAATTAATGGATTGGATATTTCACCTCATAGTTTTCTCTTCCTCATTACTATAATTAAAACGTATGTTTAAAGGTGGAGTAAGCTCCATTCAGATGACCTTACTAATGCTGACTAATGAATCCTGCCCCCTAAAGTAAGAGCATTCTAGCAGTTGAACCAATTACATAGAAAGGTGGTTGGCTCCTTTTACCAAATGTACTGAAGTAAAACTTGCGATCTATCTGAGATGCTTCAATCTGGCCTTCTGCCCAAAGTAGGGAGTTGGATTCAGTTAACTCAAAGGGCCTTCCCAACCTTGGAATTCTATGAAATGTTGACTTCCACAGCAAAGTGGTCTCTGGCTATATAATTCAACCCAATATTATTATTTCTTTATATTTATTCACATGTAGAACAGTAGATGAAGACAACCTCCCAACATATCTGGAGGTGACAGATGATTATATTTCCCGTATCTTAAACAAAATGACCTTCTCACAGTACATGTTCATCCACTGTATCTAGAGCACAATAAGAAAAAAGGAACTTATAGACATGAATGTTATTTGCTTATAAAACCTGATTATATCACTCTACTCAATAGCAATTTTAAATCTATATGGATCAGCAGAGGTAACATATGAATTGAACCCAGGACAGCTTGTTAAGAACAGTTGCAGTAGCCTCCAAGTAATAAATCAGTAAGTGCATATTGTATGATACCATTTTAAAATCAGGCTTTATGCTTGCCCACAACACAGAAATCTATGCTTCAAATGTAGACAGAGGGGATTAGCTGCAGTATTATTTAAGATATTCATTCTTAAAGTGATGAAAGATAACAGAGCTCATCCGTTTAATCCATTTGTTTCAATAACTCACCCTCTGCATCTTCTGGCCTTGTAAGATCAATGACTCCTGGACCTAGCTTTCCATCTTCACAGGGCTTCCCCGATAGATGTGGGCCTAAATTCTCAAAGCGTGTTCTTTCCTGCCAAAAACAAAAGGACAATATTCAGGTGTTTTTTTAAAAAAAGTGTTCACATATGTTTAATTTCCAGTGCTTCCTTGACCTCTGCTTCCGCATGCATCTTGCCAAATACAAGCTTAGGTATTTTGTACTACAGTTTATTGTCTAACACCGTCGTTGACATGGATGCATACATTACAAACAAAAGAGAAATAGAGTAGTTTAACTACAGCCATCACTTTAGATTCTACAATAAATTCAAATTCTACCTTGAATCCAGCAATATGATGTCCAGATAATGGAGGTTTGCAAGAAGTAACAAAAGACACTGGGTAACATATACCATAGTAACATAAAGTAAGACCAAATAAAAGGTGTTATATAGAGCAGTGGGCTTAATAATCTCATCCAAGGTTCTTGCACTGTTAGGAGCCATTCTGTGGGGGGGGAGCCCTTATTTTTGGAAGACATCTTTATCAGAGGTATCATTGACACATACTATTAAAGGTGGAGCTTTGATTGCATGTTGTTATTCATTATCTTGACTTCATTGCCCCTCCCCCAGCAGACACCCCGTAACATTGGATTCATCCCTCTAAATTTAAAAATTATGCTAAAAGGAAAAAAGAAACAACTATTGCCAGATAATGAAAGTGCAGCTTTCAATAACCCATTCAGTTCAAATGAGTGCAGGATAGGGAAGTATTATTGTGATTTAGACAGGATTAAAACTGAAATTTCAGATATCACTGCCAAGCAACAGTGAATAATTGTCCTTTCCTAAGTGACTTGCTTTTCAGAAATAGTTAAGTTCAGGACTTGGAGAGGACTTTCTATTAAAACTTGCTACTAATTCAGCAGGAAAAAAAAATAACAGTCACACAATCAACATCCTAGTCCTAGGGATCTGAATTTGCAGAAGCACCCTTGAGAAATGCAAGCATGAATTTTATGCAAGAGGATTTCAAAGACAAGTATTTCAAAAAAGGAATACTAGATGACAGAAATAGTACTATTATTTTGCCTAGGAATTTGAGCTAAACCTCAATGGGATTGAAAAAAAAAGCTATGAGTAAAAAGATATGAGTGTTTCTTCCTTGAAAAACATAAAACTTGAGTGCTGAAAACATATATGGTAAAACTGCACCACTAAAAACAATAATCAATATATAGATTGGTGTCAACCAGGGTTTCCTCATAGCAGAGAGCAAAAACTCTGCAATCATATGGCAACATTATATTTTCTCACTTTTTGTAACTATTATATATTATGCAAAAACACAGTAGGGTTTTCTTACGCCTTTGAGGTACTTCTCAAACTTGAACGTGGCATTGTGTTTGAATGTCATATCATCACAGACATGAAATATCAGTTCTTGGTTTTGTTTACAAGATATATTTGTTAAACCTCACATATTACCCAGCAAAACAGTGCTGATTGCTCTTCTCTCTGTTGTTTGAGGAGCTAACATTGAACATCTTAGATACTGGAGAAAATAAGTTTTTCATAGGCACAAAAAGCAGCTAAGCATGATGTTGCTGTTAAAAAGCCAAGAACACACTTAACTTCCAGAACAACAGAGTCATTTGCTCAACTCTCTTAATACTGATTCTGTTTATTAATAAGTGCTCTGTAATCAATTTGTAAGCATTGATAGATTACTAAACAAGTATTTTCATCATCATCATATCATCACCATCATCACACCTTTTTATACTATATATAACTCATGGTGGCAAACATACCCAAGCCTCTTGCCTGCTACTTTTCCCACAACAACAAAAACCCTGTGAGATTTGTTGGGTTGAGGGATTGTGACTGGCCCAAAGTCCTCAGCCGGCTTTCATGCATAAGGCAAGACTAGAACTCACAGTCTTCTGGTTTCTAGCTTTGAGCCTTAACTGGTGTACTTATTCATTCATTCTCTCTCTCTCTCTCTCTCTCTCTCTCTCTCTCTCTCTCTCTCTCTCTCTCTCTCTCTCCCTCTCTCTCTCTCTCTCCCTCTCTCTCTCTCTCTCTCCCTCTCTCCCTCCCTCCCTCTCTCTCCCTCTCCCTCTCCTACCCCCAAAGGGAAAAAAAACAACACTAGATATAAGAAGGATTTTGTTGGATCATATCAAAGTCAAAGCAACTAGATACTACAAGCAAAGAACAACTTCTTAATTGGTCTCATATGTGAATACAAAGCCATCATCTAATTTTAAAGCCATCATGCTAATTTTAAGATGCTGGCTTTCCAGCATCTAATAATATGCTGCATCTGTGCCATAAGCTGAACTTCATAAACCATCCTGCTGTCCTACACTGGCCACAACAGCACCTAATCTGTAAGTATGCAGCCCTCTGTATGTGTGGAACATCAATGGTGATTTATCAGTGGTGGAATAGGGCATGATGCATCATGCAGAGTTGCTCACAGCTCATTCTGACAAGAGTTACCTGAATCTGTGTATGTTCCAAGGAAAGCAAATGCTGGCTGTCCCATCTCTCTTTTTCAGCATTCATAACTAACCACAATCTCACCAAGCCTGCCAAAATGTGTGATCCTTTCACACATGCAGCATCCCATGGCTTCTGCTCTCCTCAGCCAAAGCAGAATCCCTGCATTGTAATATGCATATTCCATTTCAAAGTACAAATCAGATTATTGACCAACAAAGCAATGATTGAAACCCAATGGCTGTCAAACAGTCCCTTAAAAGTTCCACCTCTCTTCTCTCTCCATCCGTTCTCCAGAGATCTTTCTATTTTGGGGGGGAACACTGCATCATTTCAGGACCACTAAAGTCTTTTTTATATCTTCCTCGAAGAAAAGAAGATAACTATCCCTTATCTGTTTCAAAAAAAGAAAAAGAAAGAAAGGGGAATGGGCGATAAATTCCCAGGATATCAGGAACAGGCTTATTTTCTCTTTCTCTGCCTATTTCTATATTTCTGCAAGAGCTCAGCCAGGAGTTCCTCATTTTAAAACTCTATTTTCTTTTTTATTTTTTTTATTTTTTTTGGAATGGGGCAGTACAATGCTAAACACCTTGCCTCTCAATAAATGTTGGCATTTTGGGGGATGAATTGCATTTGCATTACTTCCAGTTTGACTCCTTAGTGGACTGACCAGGTGGCTTTATTAGCCGGCATGGATGAGTTTTTGACAATCTGGGAGCAGAAGGTTTTCTAATCAGAAAGTCCAAAGCAACTGACATGCAACACTGGCAAATGCTGCTTGATCAGATGTCCCAACTTACTTTTGTTGCTTATTCCTCAGAGACTTTGGAAACCCTATGCATTCTCAGTACCACATCAATGCAATCTCCTTTTTGCCACCCCCTCTATTTATCTATTCTCCCACTTTACACCCAAGAGTTTAGACCTGCCCTACTTACTAAGACAGGAATCTCTCCACAAAATGTCCTAACAAGGTACCTACTGTAAGTTTTTCCTGGTAAAACAACTTCAGTTTGATTAAAATGAAGAAAAAGAAAGAAAAAATGCATTCTACTTTAAAAAAGAAATCAACAGAACCTGTATCATAGTATGCATATTTGAAATATCTTTCTAGTCATTCATTCTCTTTGATTCTCTCCAGAAAATATTCTGTGTTAAAAAAGAAAGTTTCTGAAAGAATATCAATATTTTGACATTCAGAAAGGAAAGGAAAAATTACACGATAAAGCACAGAACTGTAAGAAAGAAAAACTTGCATGATAATAACTAAAAGAATCAGGGTGTATTTATAATTCTTTAATAATCATCAATGTGCCATTTTTGAAGGGGAAATTACTACAATAATTCTCTGTATTTTTATTTTTGTAGATGTCAGTATTCATTTTTCCATTTAAAAACAATAACAGCTATTTTATAGCTTTTCTATTTTATAGAAAAGAAATAAAAAAAAATTCAATATTACTATTAGTAGTATGTACAAATATATGTGAATTTCTGAGTCAAGACAATTTAGGTAAATAATAGCATTTTAAACTGAGTTAAATTAAGCAAATTATTTTAAATGAACACAACCAGCAGACTATCCATCTACATATCAAATATATCCTAGAAAAAAATGTAGTTATTGTATTGTCCACACAGATTCTATATTACTTTCTAAGTATAAAGGCCATAAAAATAAAGTAAAAGTAAAGTAAAAGTAAAATAAAATGTCCTGGGTTATATAAAGCTACACATGGATAAATATGACATGGCTTCCAACTTAGTCATATTTCATGCCCATGTATTCTACTATGTATTCTATGGACTTTTTTTATTCGTTATAATATAACATACTACTCAAAGCTCTGAGCATGTTTTCTGAGTGAAAAAAAAACACATTCTATGAATCCTCTACAGACACAGGGCTCATAGAACTGAATTCAACTTAGAACGTGATTACTTGGAAACTAAGAGAACTAAAGCTTGTAGGTTTCACAATCTCTTTCAAATTATAAGCAAGATTCTGAAGTGAAGGGTCCTTGGTGCTCTCTGAGCTTGATTGTTTTCTTGTAGACATTTCATTACACCAACTAGGTAGACTGCTAGACTGATGATGTTACCTAGTATGGATAATGAAACATCTGCAAGAAAACAAGCAAGCTCAGAGAGCACCAAGGACCCCTCATTTCAACCCTGAGCTAACAACATTCTCCTTTAATAGAGTCTGAAGTACACTGAAAAGAAGTACCCCTGAGCTATAAATATTCTCCTTTATTTGTACTACATATGGGTGCCAAACACTTGAGAAAGCATGGCAATGGGAGAAACTTGCCCACAGGCACACTTCCACCACTAGCAATGATTATGTTACCTAGTTTGAGTAGTGAAACATCTGCAAGAAAACAATCAAGCTCAGAGAGCACCAAGGACCCCTCATTTCAACCCTGAGCTACAAACATTCTCCTTTATTAGAGTATGAAGTACACTGAAAAGCAGGAACTGTTATTGCTGAAGTGGACTGATAGCTAATTTGTTTTTCTAAGAACAGAATCTTCATTTTCCATTCAGTGACACGATTAGGCACTTATTATGCATT